CTTCCTCCCTCCCCCTCCCACTGCTCTCACTTCTGGTTCCCCAATGCTCCTCCTTCCGGATATTTTTTCTAAGTGGTAGCTGAGCAGTAACACCAGCCCCGCCCGCCACCTAGAGCGAGCCTCGGCAGCAACCCACCCACCCATTGGTCAGCCGCTGGGCCCCGAGCCAATCGCAGTATTGAAGAGGAGCCTCCATATGCTTCTAGTAATGGCAGGGAAGCCACTTCTCCCCGCACTACCAAGCTCTGTGCAACACTGGGGAGAGGAGTCCGTCTCTCATTTCCTCCCTCCCACAGTACCTTAAAACCTTCTCCTGGAGGAAAGGTTATCCCATGACAAGTTTGGTTGCGGTAGGTCTTATAGTGGCCAAGTTATTAGAGCACGAACATACAAACATTCTCCTTTATATATTAGATTTGCATAATGAATATGCAAATAAACTGTCAGTGATCCACCAAAAGTTAATGAACGAGGTTTGCCAATATCAAAAAGCTTAGGAACCACTGATTTAGGATATCCTATTAGTTATTTTGTTAAAATATTTATTTTGCACATATTTCTAAGGCAACTGTAAATTTCATTGTAACTGTTATAGTAGATCATTGCACAATTCATTTATGCCATAAATATTTCAAGGTTTCTTTAGTCTTGTGTTGAAAATTTGTCTTATTCAAATGGTTAAAAATAAAAGTCTCCTGTATTAATTTTATTTTCCCTCATTTTAGCCTCTCTGACTGCCACTATTCAACACCTTTCACTCTCAGAAATTGTTTACAGAGCAAGTCATTTTCTTCTTTGTTAAAAAATTCTCATGTAGTTCAACAATCTAAAGCAATAAATTCTGACAAACTCACAATCCAAGCTTCAAAGCAGCATGAGAAAACACTATTGCTCCAAGATTTTCTTAACACCAACCACCACTATACTAGAATTTCTACTGTATTACTGAGCACACAACAAATATCAACAAAATCAACAAAGTAGCATTTTTTCTTTCTGACTGAATAAAATTATTCCACACTGGTAAGATTATTAGTGGAGAAATCACATAGTGAAACTAACAGCATTAAATCTAAAAGTATTCTTTGAAATATTTTTAAAATGAGCAGCTGACGCTCCTAGAAAAACTCCTGGATCTAAACCTACTAAAGAAAAATGAATAAATTTCTCACCTGTGGCAAATGTAATTGGAGACCTTCACTGGGAATAGGCTGGTGAGATGGTGTCTGATCAAGCTGCATGTTAAATAAGCATGCAAGAGCTGACTGAGCAGCCCGAGCCTTTGCAAGCTTTTTGTTCCTTCCTGACCCTTCAAAAGTTTGACCATCCACTGCCACTGCCATCACAAAGTTTTTAGCATGGCTTTCTCCACTTTCTGAGAGAAATTCATACTTCAACCCTGGCCGCAGCTCATTCAGAATCATCACAGGGTTCTTTCCGCTGGTGGATGGATACGATGATGGTGTGGGAAGAGGGGACTGGATAAGACTACCAGCCACGGAGGAGGACGACAGACTGTAGTCTATACTGGAGCTATAGGATCCATCTCCATTGGACCCTAAATAAAAGGAATTATCAGTCTGAACTGGTGTTTCAAACCCATTGAAAAGTGTGTCTGGGAAATCTGCTTGGTCAGATGTAAAGTCTGTATTTACCGAGAGTGTTCTCCCCATTGCTAGATGTGCTTCAGAGGCATTTGGAAACTGAACAAAAGATCTCAAAGCCTTCTCAGCAGCATGAAGCTTTGCCTTCTTTTTTGTAGGGCCAGATCCCTCAAACACCTGTCCATTAACTTCAACTGCCATCACAAAAATAGGGGCATGAACTGGTCCTGTTTGGGAGAGAAGCTTGTACTGTAAACCAGGCTTAATTTCATTCAGTTGCATCAGAGCATTCTTTGGCAAAACAGGCCCTGGGGTTTTCTTCCTCTTCTTAGGGCGGAACTTGGAGTGTCCATTGTTACCCTCCTCCAATGGGCGTTTTCTGCTGCTGCTGCCACCATTTGAGAGTTGTGACCCCTCCCCGGTACTTTGTACACTGCTATCCTTAGGTGGAACGTTGTCCATGTTGCGGTTTTCTTTAACATCAGTGCTGCTTGAACCTGTGATGCCCAGAAAGAGTAACTTACAATGCCTTCGTTGCAGGATCTTGTAAATGCAAAATTTATAGATTCCTTTATCTATCTTTGTAACTGGAAGTGATGTATGCTTACAGAGTTATGTCTTTGCAGGACAAACAGAAAACTATAATTTTAATAACCCATGAAATATCAGGTGCCGGTCTGAGTTACAAATTATGCATTTGACCTTTTTATTAATACTAGGATTAAAAATCTGCACCATTTTAATTTTGCACTCAAAGTACTTTCAAGACAAAGACCTATTTTTAAATTATTTTTGTTCTAATATTCTAAACCCAGAAAGATTATTTATAATTTTCATCAGCATTTTGATGCTTATATTTCAAAATCCTTTAATTGATTAACTAATAAAATGAATATTTAAGAAGTACAAGCGAGCTGGAAGTTTTTATATTCATTCAAACCACTTCACTTTTCCTTAAGCTTGTGCTGTGGCTCAAGTAAGGAATCTTACATTTTATTTATTTATTTTTAGAAGATAATTACATAAAACCTGATAAATGTAATTAATTTCAATAAAAATAAACTCCTTTCTAGGGTCCCTGGTTTAAGAGCACATACTTGCTTTTTTATCTCCTTGAAACAATCCTACTTATACATCACCTATGCAGATGTTCCACTGTGTTCATTTTCACAATATTGCTCATTTAAATGACTAATGTCAGGTACCTGGGCACTTATCTAAGATCGTTTATGTTTTCATTCAAGATGACTAACAAGAAGCTAGAGCTTTTCTCCCAACCATGCTGACTTAATAGCCTGAACCAACTCCCAACGAATCCAGTCAGACTCTTCCTTTCTTGACTTCAAAAGTAGTTAGATTGTAAACATGCGCTGGAGAGTAGAATGAATCAAATTCAGTGCCCATATTTATTTTTTATATCAATCCTCAAAAGTTGGTAGTCTATAATTCTCATATTTCATCTCACAGAATTGTGTCAAAAATTCATGCTTAAATTATGCTGTCCCACAAGAATAATATATATAGTACAAGCATCTAACAGGAAATGTTGTATTTGAGTCATTTACATTCTTTATAAGCCTTTGCAAAGCTAAAGCAATTGCTATTATTTTATACAGAGTTCCAGTTCCAAAAATCCCCCTTAAAACATAGCTATCTTACTATGATAGCATTAGAAAGCAAGATTTTTAGTACCTGCTCAAGTTAAGCCTGACAAATTAATAATTTTGTACACTGAAAATTGTTAATGGAACTAATTTGTTTATATAAAACCAATCCAATAATTAAATTACTTAAAATATTTCTGAAATTAGGGTGGATATATCATACTATGAATTAGTTTTAAGAATTGTTCCTGCTAAAGCTTTTAAACCCTACTCTTTGTTATGTGAAGCAATTGTTATAAATTAAAACTATTTGTAGCAATCTATGTAAATTAAAATGCAATTTTAGCATCTTAAGAATTTCCAGCCTTTCAGTTTTAAACTTATCAAATATCTAGCAGTATAATGCACCTACAATGATAACAGATTATACAAATTAATCCAGAATTTAAACAAAATAAAGTGGAAATTTTCCAGAGTATAACTGGTACACACACACCACTTCACCCAGTTTACAAAGCTGATGGAATGGTTACTAAATTTTCATTTATAACATCCTCCAGCAAAAGCTCGATAGGTTACTCCTTTCGGTGCTCGAAAAGAATCAAAGATCAAAAGAAAGAGCCAAAGTAGAAACATACATACTGTTAAACAGGAATTGAACAATAAAGTTTGGTACAATACTGGCAAATAGAAGTAAAGTAAACATTACGGATGAACATTAATATTCCCAAATTAGTATTAGATTAATCATTAGAATTGCTTTCACAATTCATTTTACCGGTAAAGGATTTCTGAAGTTGAACCTCAAATAGTGTTTTATACAGTACATATACTATTGGATTATAATCAACATAACATATATTCATGAAATTTTGTTACTTTTATAACAGTGTAGTACTGCACTGATGGAATTTAAACAACAATTTAATAAAACTGTAGTAAAACTGAATTTCTTAGTGAAAAATATGATCCTTTGAAAATTCCATTGTCTCTAGAACCATATTTTTGGATCGTTTGGTCTGTACCGTAACATCATGCATTTGCTATCAAATGGTATAATTTGTAAACTAAAGGGAAATGATTAGATATATACCAACATATCATGGCCTCCATCTATATATTTCTTTTCATTTACGAGTTCAAAAACAGAAGCAATAAGGAAAGACCAACTCTTGAAGAAAGATGTGAAGCAAAAAGTGGATCTAACCGTCTTTGATACTATAGTAGAACCTCAGAATTACGTACACCTAGAACCTAGTGGAGTACTGCGGCTTGGGGCTTCAGACCTGTGGCTCCACTTCTGGCTTCTGCCCTGTGTGGGACAGCAGGGATTAGGACTCTCCAAAGCTCTGCTCCTCGTTTCAGCCAGGGATGTGCGCGCACCAGGGCTTTAGCTACAGGGGGATTGCTGAGGCTGAAACTGGCATTCCCCTCAGAGCTAAATTCCTGAGCTCTGGTGCCTCCCCATAGGCTGAAGCCCTGAGCCTAAGTGCTCCTCCAATCTGAAGTCCTGGGCCCTAGTGCTCTCAAGGGCCAGAAGCCCTGAGCCTGGGGTAGGTCCAAAACCCCACCCCTAATGAGTGGTTGTACCTCCACCATCCCATGGCTGAAACCCTGAACTCCATGACTAAAGTCCTGAGGCAGTACAATACAGTACTGACTGGATTCTATTGGTCTCCCCTTCTGCCTGATGTATTACTTCCAGTTTCACAGGGTGTCCAGCTGACAGGTAAAACTAACTCTTGTGTTCACCCTTTCAAGTCCTACTGTAATTTAATCTAGACTGGAAAAGGAATTCACATGAGAATTTAACACCCTGAACCAAGGATTAAAACACATGGGCTACGTCTAGACTGGCATGATTTTCCGCAAATGCTTTTAACGGAAAAAGCATTTTTTGCGGAAAAGCGTCCGTGCCAATCTAGACGCGCTTTTGCGCAAAAAAGCCCCGATTGCCATTTTTGCAATCTGGGCTTTTTTGCGCAAAACAAATCTGAGCTGTCTACACTGGCCCTTTTGCGCTAAAGCTTTTGCACAAAAGGACTTTTGCCTGAACGGGAGCAGCATAGTATTTCCGCAAGAAGCACTGACTTCAGACCGTAGGAAGTCAGTGTTCTTGTGGAAATTCAAGCGGTCAATGTAGACAGCTGGCAAGTTTTTCCACAAAAGCACCTGCTTTTGCGGAAAAACTTGCCAGTCTAGACACAGCCATGGAGTAGGTCTCCCATTACAATCGAACCATGGTTGGGAACCGCTGACCTCGGACTAGTACTGGGACACGAATCACTGGCTGCTGGGCATGGTGGCTGCCAGAGCTGAAATAGAGCTCGCAATGGATCTGGGGACTCACCCCGGCCCCGAGCCACTACACAGCAGCCAGCTTCAACTCCAGCAGTCATGGCAGTTGATTTTGCCCAAAGGCAGGACTGGAGCTGAGACAGCGACAGGAGGTGGTGATGTAAGTGGCAACTCTCTCCCTCCTTGCTCCCACCCAGGTAAGATGGTGGCCTGGCCACACTCCGCCCCTCCCCCCACCTCTACCCACCCACGGGGGTGTGAGATGCAGTCGCAGCATTTCAAATCGGCAGCATCATGTGGAGCCTGGAATCAGCTTGGGACTCCCCTGCTGTCCGTGCGCTCTGTGCGGTGCTGCTTTGAAACACCGTGTTCAACTCCTTGTGGTATTTTAAAGCAGTATCACACAGAGCCCAGGGTCAGCTGGAGTCCCCAGCTGACCCCGGGCTCCATGCACTGCTTTCACCTTTGAAGCGTAGCAACAGCCCTAGAGCTGTTATTACACCTCAAAGGCAGAAACACTAATCAAATAGTGTTTGACTAATCAAATAGTAGATGCAAAATGCATCAATTATTCAAACAGTCAATACTTAATATCCTTATTTTGAACTAGCTATTTTATTTTTAAGGTCAGGCTTGACAAAACCCTGGCTGGGACAACTTAGTTGGGGGTGGTCCAGTTTCGAGCAGGGGGTTGGACTAAACTACCTCCTCAAATCTCTTCCAACCCTTTCTATGATTCTATGAATTACACATATGTGAGCACCCTGTGTGTGACTTCTGTAGGAGGAAAACTTGGAAAAACAGAAAGATCAGTACAGCAGCAACTGGAACCACCAACCTGAATCGGCTGGAATTCAGGGTATACTGCAAGGCCCATTTTTTCTCCCTCCGCCACAAACTGGTGGATAGGTCTAGGAAATGGGATGGATTTTGTGAGGAGAATCAATTTTATGGGGAGGTCAAATAATTTTGGTGTTTTTTGTTGCAGGATTATCTGGTTTTATACTGAGATAATTGATGGGTCTTTTTACCTTTATGAACGTTTTTAAAAGATTACCAAGAAAACTCAGAATTGGATGGACTTATTGTGGAGCAATAAACATTTTAAATCAGTAAATAAATTCTTTGGTTACACTACCTTCTCTGAATCTTGAATGCATAAAAAAAGGAGTATATCCATTTTCACCTGAAATCTCAAGAAGAGCTTTTTTATTCTCCCCATATTTTTAAAAAATATACTGTAACCATTACAATTTTTCACAAGCAATTTCAGACGAGCTGTAGTCTCTGCAGGTAAAACAGGTATTCTTGAAGGCTGTGATATTGCCTATGTCCACCTTCTTCAGACATCAAGATTTCCCTAAACAGTAGTTCCACAAAATAACATAAGCTTTAATAGCTAGTGTCTGGCTCTGCATGTAGCTGCTCATGCGAGAGGTCAGAAAGACAGTGTAGGCGAATATTTGTAAAATTCAAAAATAAATGGGATGATTTTTTTCTTAAAATATTTGGACTTATATTACCAAATTTATTTAGCATAATTTAACCCTGTTTAGTAAAATACCCTTTCTATGTATGTAATGTACAGGGTACATATGTATCCTAAGTAGACATACAAATGCAAGAGACTCCTCTGTATCACATATAACATTACAATCCAGTTGTCATTGGTTGTATTTAATTTCCGTTAAACCGTCATGATTGTACCACCCTACACCTCATCTATTGTCCTTGGTGAAATTATCTTTTTAATAGCCCAAGATCAAAAGCTTATTGCATTCAACTGAATTCTCTTTTAAATAAAAAGGTGTAGACATGTTAAATATTTTAATAAGGACATTTATAGGACCTCAACATAAAAATAACATTTTCCTTCAACTACAAGGCATTTTTATTTGCATTCAAGCACATTCAGTTAGAACATGCCTACTTAATTAAGTATTTTATTTAAATCACTTGAATTATGACAATTATTTCTCTTAGGGTATGTCTACACTGCGAAGTTAATTTGAACTAACAGCCATTATTTCAAATTAACTTTAATAGCATCTATACATGCAAACCACTATTTCAAAATTAATTCGAAATAGCGGAGCGCTTAATTCAAATTTGGTAAACTTCATTCTACGAGGAGTAACGCCAAATTCGAAATAGCTATTTTGAATTAAGTGCTGGGTAGACACTTAATTCAAAATAAGGGCCTCCAGTCCTTCCCAGGGAGCCCTGGTGGCCACTCTGCACACAACCAGGAAAACTTACTCTCCTCTCTCCCAGCCCCGGAGCCACTAAAGGGGTAGACCCTGGCCACAGTGCCTGTGCCAGCCCCAAGCCTGCCAGCCCAAAGCCAGCAGTGGCCACCGGGCCCCTGACCCAGTGACCCTAAAACATGAGCCAACAAGCCACTGGCAGCCAGCCCCCCACCACTCCCCAGGACCTGCCAGCTCACAGAAGTCTGACAGGGGCTGGAGAAGACGGGCGCCTTCCTGGTCCAGGGTGGAGATTATGGACCTTATTCAGGTTTGGGGGGGGATGCCCCCAACGTCCATGATCTCCACACTAGACGGAGGAACGCGACCGTCTATGGCAGGATAGCTGCCAGCCTGGCCACCAAAGGCCACATGTGAACCCAGGAGCAGGTTTGCATGCAAATCAAGTTGATCTGGCGAGACCCCCAACCCTGGGCCCTGAACTTCCCCTCCCCCTTCTTCCCCTTGCTTCCCCCTCCCCTCTCCCACCCTCTCTTCACCTCTCCCGCCTCCTTTTCCCAGTCTCCCCAGAGGTTCATCCCTCCCCCCCAGTTTTGTTCAATAAACCCAGTTTCTATTTTTGAACATACGTGTCTTTTGTTTGACATCAGGAAGGGGGGGGCTAGGGAGGTGTAAGTGGAAGGACGTGAGAGAGGAATGAGACACGAGCCCCCAATGGGGAGGACTCTGAGCAGTGGACGCTCTACCGGAGGGCCTCCTGGATCCTGACAGTCCCCCAATGGACCCCCCAGATGGAAGCCTGCAGCAAGTGCAGCCGGGCTGATGGCAACGACCCCACGAGAGGCACCGGTGTGCCCAGGGGCAGCTCTGGCTCCATGTGGCTGCGTGCTGTGGTGTCCTGAGTGCAGGCACTCAGGGCACTCCAAGACAGAACTGCTTTGCTGTCCCTCACCGAGATAGACAAGCAAGCGGGGAACCCTGAGAACTGTCTATGCGGGGTGTGGGTAGGGTCCCTTTAAGCACAGAGCTCAGTTAGCCTCAGGCAGCAGCCCCACACACTGAGTCCTAACCTGATGCCCTGCCGGCACTGGTTCCGGCCAGCCTTAACTTCGGTTCAGGGTCCACTCAATGTGGACTCACTATTTCGAAATAGGTTTTGTGTGTAGATGCGTTAATTCGAATTAGCTTAATTTGAATTAACTATTTTGAATTAAGTTAACTCGAATTAACGCTGTAGTGTAGACATAACCTTACTTCTCTTAGTCCTTATGAGGAGAGTGTATTTGGAAATTATTCATCTTATTCTCAACATAGCCTCCAAAGCATTGGCAAGACTTAAAAAAATAAGACAAATCCAACAGGAATGTGTGTCAGCCTCCTTAGTTTCAATGCAACTGTAAGGGACATATGGATATATGGGGGTACACAAATATTTATCTCCACTTACTGAAACTATTTTCCAAAAAAGTTGACAAACTTTAACCATATGGGATTCTATTAGTTCTTACATCAGTGGAAAGGCAAAGGCATCTCTACCATTTCCTATTTGTACTGTCTAAATGAATTTGGGGTAATTCATTTTTTGTTTAAGTTTAGTTGATTCAAGTTGTCTTCCCCACCTTAACATTTTTTGTGTATTTGAAAAAACTTACTTAACTGGCAGAAAACACAGGCCTACCCAAGCTAATACTTTAAAGAAACAGGCCAGCAGAATGAATTTTAGTAAAATGAAGTCATTTTACAAAACCCACGTTCTTGACTCCCCAATAAAAATGCACTTTAACTTCTACATGTAGAACTCTATCTTTCCTATACAAGGCCTTGCTGTACTGTTCGGATGTCATTACCTTTGACAAAGAAAGGGTATCATATGTGTTAGCTTTACAATTCGGGGATAGAATAAGCAAATATTCTTTTCTGAACAAGAGTGAACAGTTTACAGTAAAGCCAGGAAATATCCATTTCACAATATTTAAAAGCAACACATACACAGTATTTTATTATCATTCACAAAAAATAAGTATGGTTAAAAGACCAAATACCTGTAATATGAGATAATTGTATAAGAACGTGGTAGCTGTATTTCTTTCTATAAATAGGTCTTAATCCTGCAGGAGGCTGAGCACTTTCACACCAATCCGACAATGAATCTAGACATATGCTTAACTTTAAGCCCTTGTAGCGTTCCACTGAAGCCACGTGACTGCTCATATTAAAAAGTACACACATGCTTAAATACTTTGCTGGACCTGGGCCAAAGCAATACCACCACTGTATAATTTTCTTCCTTTTTTAAATCTTCATTACTTGATTCCTCTCCTAACACATTCTTTTTTGATTCACAAACCCTTATATTTGATCTCCTTTGTCCTGCACTCTCCTTTCTCCTGTACCCTCACAATTCCTATCTCTTTGCCAAGTTTCCTGAACTCTGTTTCTTGCCCCATTGCCCTAGTTTCCCCTTCCCTAGGTATATCCCCCAAAATAATGATCTCAGCCCCCTTCAAACCTCATTCCATTAATAGACGGCTGATACACCAGTAAGTTATTGTACATTTCTGGCACACAAAGTCTCAGATCTTTATTTAAAATAAAATTTCTGTTCAGCCTGTCCTCTGGCTAGAACACTTTAGAGGCAGGAGTTCATTTCTTACTCTAATCCAGATCTTGTATGAGTTTAGCATTATTGTGTAATCTACTTCCAGTTCTACTGTGGGATGGTTTGGGACATGTAGAAATTTTTTTTTGTAGGAGACAGTATGCTACACAGGTACATGCATGCATGTCACATCAGTAGAGTATACCACTTCATATTTCCTCAAATCAAGCCCTAGATGTATTAATCATCATTACTTCACTACAGGTTCAAGGAGAAAACAAGCTGAGAGAGAATAAGCTGTTTTGAAATGCAAGTATCTTTGATTATTAGAAAGCATGGTATGAAGATATCAATCATATGAAGAGTAACTGGATTATATTTTAATCAGATGTATTTGAAAGCTTTCCCAGTACGAAAATTCTACTTAAATGAGCACATGTAAAAAAAGTGAACTATACACACAGAAATTCTCTCATCTGTATTCTCATCATTTCTGTATGCCCATCCAGCTGCAAGGAAAAATGGCTCTTTCAGAAAGTACTATATTTTGTATTATGTATATATACACATCTTACTCATATTTTCTTCATCATCTATATCCATTGTGAAATATTTTTGCTGGTTTCTTGACTGGCGCAGACAGCTTCTATCTAAAAAAAAGAGAGAGAGAATTTGTTTAAAGCTTATATCATGTAAAACACAGGTGTCCACATGATGAAGGCAAGGAACGAAGCCAGAGGTTGTTTCTCTGGCTCTTTCACCAATGTTCATCTGCAGTGAGGAACAACTCATTCTCCCTGTATGTCTATGCTGTTTCTCTAGCTCAAAGGTGTAGAGCTGTTAAGAACCCTTTAATGTTTACACACATCTTTACATTTCTGATTGCAGATAGTCCAGAAGTGCATGCTGTTTTTCATATGGTGTATTTTTCCTGATTCATGTACTTAAAAGATATGAACTAATCCCTCTCACTGGAAAATATGGTCATTTCCTTGTCTATTTCACCTACTATTTTAAACAATGTGGTGAGTTAAAAGGTCACACCTCACTGCAGCTCTAGAAATGGTTTAGTGGGAGAGATGTTTTTCCTGCAACAAGCCAGAGGAAAAAGGACAAAGTCAAAATACTAACAATCTGATGATGCAGATAACATCAAGAAAGTTCAGGCAATTCTTTTACTGGGTAGAGCAAGTACTACAATTTAAAAGGACAGTTCCCGGAAAGAGAGGTCTTGTGATAACTACCTAAACTTTACCCTACTTACAGAAAATGAAGGGGCTTAATATGATAAGCAAAGGGTGGATAAGGAATTGACTTAAGGGGAGACTGCAATGGGTCATACTGAAAGAAAAACAGTTACTTTGGAGAAGTGTTAGTAGTTAATTTCTTTAGGGATCCATCTTGTGATCAACTGTATTTAATATTTCCATTAATGAACTTGACACAATGTAGGACACTGCTAATAAAATTTGCAAATTACAAAGTTAGGAGGTATTCCTAACAAGGGGGAGCAGAATATTATACAAGATTTGCAGGATCTTGTAAACTGGAGCAACCAACATAGGATGAAATTTAATGGTGCAAGGTCATGTATGTAGGGACTAAAAGCAAGAAATTTTGCTGTAAGCTGGGAATGTATCAGTTGGAAGTGACAGAAGAAAACAAAGACCTGAGTGTCAGTCATAGGGTGGCAATGCAGCCAAGAAAAGGGGCTAATAGAATCCTACTATATATCCAATGAGATATTGCCAAAAGAAATAGCGAAGTGTTATTACTTGAATACAAGACACAGGTGAGATCTCATCTGTAACACTGAGTGCAATCCTGGTCTCCCATGTTTAAGAAAGATGAATTCAAAATGGATCAGGTGCAGAGACAAGCTACAGAGATAACCTGAGAAAAGGAGAAACTACTTCATAAAAGGCAACTTCGGAGATTGCCTTCTTTAGTTCAACCAAATGAAGGGTGAAGGGGAAATATGTAAATACATCAGAGGGACAAGAGGAGTTATTTAAGTGAAGAGACAGTGTTGGAACAAGAATAAATGGATATCAACTGGCCATCAACAAGTTTAAGTCTGAAATTAGAGGAAGATTTCTAATCCTCAGAGGAGTGATATTCAGGAACAGACTCCTGCAGTGAGCCATGAAGGGAGTGGAAAGGGGAAAGCGAAAAGGGGAACGGAAAGGAAATAAAACAGTTTCTAACCTGGGCTTCGGAAGTTTATGGAAGGGTTGGGATGATGAGATTGCAGATGGGCCACGTGCCAGTGTTGGCATCTGCTATTAGCAAATACTTCAAATGACTGAAGAGCAGACACTAGATGGAATGGGTTTTGAGTTACTTTGGTGAATTCTTTCCCTGGTGACTAGCACAGGGTCTACCTGATCACTATACAGAAGTGTCTCAATTTTTCCAACCTTCACTTATCCGACATGCCGTTTTATCTAACGTGCCGCCCACTGTCAGGTGCCGCACACCGACATGACAAATTGACGATGTACAACAGCCAATTGACGATGTACAACAGCGTGTACAACAGCCAATCACAATCTGTGCCGCATACCCACACCACATGCAGGAGTGAAGTCGTGCTTTTGGTTGATGATGCTCAAGTAGATTGACATTTCTTTATTGGCATGGCAAGTGAAACGAAAGGTGAAAGTAGTTGTTTCAATGGAACAAAAACTTGAACCCTTACAAAGACTAGATAGAGGCAAAACTATGCAAAATGTGGCTTCAGAATATGGTGTGGGGCATGTTACTGCTGGTGAGTGGAAGAAATAAAAAAGGAACAGGAACAGGGCGAACAGGTAACAGGAGAGTTTGGAGAGGGAGTTTAGAGGGGAGGTTAGAAGACACCAGTGACTTCTGACCTTCTTTAAAACATAACTCTTAGAATAATCTATATTCCAGAGGTTTAAAAAGAATCCCTGTTTATACTTAAACTTATTCGTTAGAAAAAGGAGACCGAAGCCCAGCAGCAGAGTGGGGGCTATCCTGTTTATTGTGTCGAGTGTACCTGCCCTGTGGGCGGGTGGCGTATGTGTGCACCCAATGCAAGAAGCTCCTGACCCTCAGAGACTGAGTTTGGGCTTTGGAGGCCAGGGTTGCTGAACTGGAGGAGCTAAGGGAGGCAGAGAGCTATGTTGATGAGACTTTCCGGGACACTGTAGTACTGTCCCACCTCCAGTCTGACAGCCCCAGTGCTCTTAAGGAAGATGAGTCTCAAGGGAACAGAGCATTCAATGGGAGCAGAGGGAAACCATCCCGTAGTTGGGACCCTCCTCCCAGAGGATGTTGCGGTATCCTCTCGCACTGAGGATACCTCTGAGGGGGAGGGAATGCCAGTTAGGAAGAGGCAGGTGTTAGTAGTGGGTGATTCGATCGTTAGAAACATAGATAGTTGGGTTTGTGATGACCGGGAGAACCGTATGGTCACTTGCCTACCTGGTGCGAAGGTTGCAGATCTCTCGAGGCATCTAGATAGACTTATGTGTAGTTCTGGGGAGGAGCCGGCGGTCGTGGTACATGTAGGTACCAATGACATAGGGAAGGGTAGGAGAGATGTCATGGAGGCCAAATTTAGGCTGCTAGGAAAGAGACTGAAATCCAGGACCTCTATGGTGGCATTCTCGGAAATGCTTCCAGTTCCACACGCAGAGCCAGGTAGGCAGGCAGAGCTTCAGAGTCTCAATGCGTGGAAGAGACGATGGGGTAGGGGAGAGGGGGTTAGATTTATTAGGGACTGGGGACACTTTTGGGAGAGGGAGAGCCTATAGAGGGAGGCGGTCAAGATGGGGATTGTTGGATAGAAATTCCCTGTTTTGAAAGATCCTGTAAACCTGCTGTAAAAATGAGGTTTACTGTATCTTTCAAAACGGGGCATTTCTGTACAACGATCGTAGGGTGACTTGACCGTAGGGTTTTTTTTGAAAAGCAGCTTTCTCCATCCTTTCTGGAACCTCCCTTCAGATAGTTGAAGGCTGCTATCAAATCCCCCCTCACTCTTCTCTTCTGTGAACTAAATAAGCCCAGATTCCTCAGCCTCTCCTTGTAAGTCATGTACTCCAGTCCCCTAATACTTTTTGTTGCCCTCTGCTGGATTTTCTCCAATGCATCCACATCCTTGTAATGCGGAGGGAGACCCAGAATTGGATGCAATACTCCAGAGGTGGCCTCACCAGTGCTGAATAACGGGGAATAATCAGTTCCCTAGATCTGCTGGCAACTCTACTAATGCACTCTAATATGCCATTAGCCTTTTTATCTCCAAGGTACACACTATTGACTTATATCCAGATTCTCATCCACTGTAATCTCCAGGTCTTTTTTTACTGAACTGCTGCTTAGCCAGTTGGTCCCCAGCCTGTAGCAGTGCTTGGGATTCTTCTGTCTCAAGTGTGGGACTCTGCACTTGTCCTTGTTGAACCTCATCAGATTTCTTTTGGCCCAATCCTCCAAATTATCTCATAGACTCATGGACTTTAAGGTCAGAAGGGACCATTATGATCATCTAGTCTGACCCCCTGCACCGTGCAGGACTCAAAATCCCACCCACCCCTCCTAGAATAATCCTCTCACCTATATCTCAGATATTGAAGCCTTCAAATACTTTGAAGACCCCAAGATGCAGAGAATCCTCCAGCTGTGATCTGTACCCCATGCTACAGAGGAAGGCGAAAAACCTCCAGGGCCTCTGCCAATCTACCCTGGAGGAAAATTCCTTCCCGACCCCAAATATGGCGATCAGCTAAACCCTGAGCATGTGGGCAAGACTCATCAGCCAGACACCCAGAAAGTTCTCTATAGTAACTCCTATCATCCCTCCATTGACCTATTTCCCACTGATAATGAATGGTCAATTAGTTACCAAGAACATGTCACCTCAGGAAGAGAAAGGGAGATAAAATTTCTCAATAGCTTAAATGACTGCTTCTTGGAGCAGTTGGTGGAGGAACCCACAAGGGGACAGGCAATTCTCAACTTAGTCCTGAGTGGAGTGCAGGATCAGGTCCAGGAAATAACTGTTACCGGACCGCTTGGGAATAGTGACCATCATATAACAACATTCAACATTCCTGTGGTGGGAAGAACACCTCAGCAGTCCAGCACCCTGGCATTTAATTTCAAAAAGGGGAATTACACAAAAATGAGGCAAAAAGGCAAATAGGGTGCTAGGAATTATTAGGAAAGGGATAGAAAATAGGACCCAGAATATCTTACTGCCCCTGTATAAAACTATGGTAAAGAGCTAAAAAAGTGTCACCGTACAGATGTGGTCTCCTCACCTCAAAAAAGATATTTTGGCCTTAGAAAGGGTTCAGAAAAGGGCAACTAAAATGATTAGGGGTTTGGAACAGGTCCCATATGAGGAGAGGTTAAAACGACTGGGACTTTTCAGTTTAGAGAAGAGGAGACTGAGGGGGGATATGATAGAGGTCTATAAAATCATAAGTGGTGTGGAGAGGGCCAATAAAGAAAAGTTATTTATTAGTTCCCTAAATAGAAGAACTAGAGGACACCAAATGAAGTTAATGGGTAGCAGGTTTAAAACTAATAAAAGAAAGTTCTTCTTCACACAGCGTGTAGTCAACCTGTGGAACTCCTTGCCAGAGGAGGCTGTGAAGGCTAGGACTATAATAGAGTT